ATCTGAACGTATATATATATATATATATATATATATGGGTAACAATTGTTTCTTCATTATTATTGTAATAACACAAGCACAACTATTAGTACTCATCATCGGGCCATCGGTGGCTGCCCTTATCGACTAAAGTCGCTATGATAACCATAGAAATCTCTAAACTACTTTAAGCTTCGTTACCATCGAATGACAATCTACGTTTTCATTATCATTTTCTTGATATTTTAATTATCCATCAACTGAACCTTTTATGCATTCCACATGGAGTTTGTGGTTTACTCAGTTTGCATACAATTCCTTCGAGGTGAAGGCAACGACACAAACGACAACCTTGTGCCCCCATTCTGCCAAACTTGCTTAGACCCCATGACAACAAAGCAGCTGACTGGACAGAAAGTCGTAGAGGTACCCCGACTCCACTGAAGCGGGACACTCTAGAAAAGCGTTAAGAACTCCGAAGAGCTACCCTAATCAGTATAAATTTGTCAGCCCCTGTGAAGAATTGCACTGCTAACTGAACGAACAGAATGTCTCCTCCACACCAGATGGAAAGTGAGATGGATAAACACCATCGAAGCCGACGTCTCCTAACGAATCACGCCAGGGAAATTTGCCCACGTTGCTAAGAAAAACTCAAGGAGTTTTCCGACGTATTCAAACACTGTGGGCCGAGTTTTGACTTCTGCAAGAGTCTAACACGGTACTGTAATTGATTTTCACAGCACCCCAATGTCATACACTTCAATAAACCCAGAAGCTCCCGGACTAAGGATATGGCCCCGAGGGCCAATCCCACAAAATTTACACAGGTCTTGGGTCCTGCTTTAACGCGGGCACTACTTTAGCTTATCTGAGCCCTATTCAGACCCGTGGCAGCATCATGCCACGTGCTTGAAGGAAAATTCTCATGCTTTACTTGGTTGCCCTTTGAAAGCAGAAGAGTGTTGAAGGCAGTCCTGAAACTCTTTTTGGCAGTTTTTTTTCTTGGAGGGGTTAGGGGGTTAGAGATTCTATCCTCCACGGAGGTTGACAAGGAGGAAAAGCGTTCTCACCTTTTGCGAATCTGCAAAGGTAATGTTGATATTTTCAGTTCTTTCTCTTAGTAACTAACGTCTTAAAGAAAACACACTAATTCCGCCCGCCCCCGCAGCAAACACTACACTACCACTATCATTGGATAGAAGCCGTGTAAAGGCAAGATTGGGCACTACATGTACCGCTGACATAGTTTCGAGAGAAATTAAGTAGAGTCCGCGCGCAGTCGCTACTGCGGTGCGCCCGCCCTCCAGAGCAGCAATGTCTAAGATAGGGGATATAAAGCTACGACTTGTAACTGGTGCCGCTGTCCGACGACTATCCCAGATCAGCATCGAACCATCCATCGAACCAGTAAAAATAAAATTGCGGAAGGTGTAGATAGTGCTAATGGTGTCCGTGTGAAGGGAAGACTCTAGCTTGTAAACTGAGGCCGACAAAGCCTTAGCCGAGAGGGAGGGTGAGGACAAAGAAGATGTCCCATTCGTCACGTTTGAGCCGGCTGAGGAGTTGCTAACACGGGTATCCCACAGCTTGATGGTTTTATCCCGGGACCCCGATATCAGCACCACTTCGTCATCTTCACAGGTTGACAAGACCGTGATGTAATCACTATGAGCGTTGGCTAAAGTACGCACTACCCTACCGTCTGAAGAATTAATGAGTTGGATGTTGTGTTCCTGGCTAAACACACTAGAAGCCGTCGTGCAGTTTTTAGGGGTTCTCGTTTCCTGTGATTTTGCTAGAAAAGAATTACCTCCAAGACTGGATTCCGCACTGCAGATCGTATTGTTTGACAGTGCTGCGACAGCCGTGATGACGCGGTCGAACGGCCGAAGGAAGACGTCGCCGTTGCCCCACTCCCCCGTTTGCTCGTTGTACGGCATCACCCGCAAGAGTGCCTGAGGCAACGGCGTGCCGCTGATCGATCGCCGTTTGGATTGGGAGGCCGCGGTGTCTAAGTACGGGGCGTAGGGGTGCATGACATGGTACGACATCCCCGCAGCGACGAGGTAGTTCCCGCGCTGCGGCCCCGCCATGGACACGGGTGAATGCTCCGCGATGTCGTCCGGTGACAGCGTCACGACATGCCGCACGCTGACCAGTCTTTGGTCAAGAGGACCGATACTAATATTGGGAGGGCTAGCATTCGCGCTAGTCGGGTTGGGCCCGCCCCACATCACCACCGTGCCGTTGGCCTGCCCGGAGACGAGCTCGTCGCGGCCGCGGAAGTAGTGCATGCAGGTCACCGGGGCGGAGAGCGGGATGGTGCAATGACAAAACAAGGAAGCCCCCGGGCCTTTATCCGAGCTGCTGCTGAGAAGCTGCGTGATGGTCGAGATGTCGTACTCGTACTCCGGATCCTTGCACATCGTGTAGAGCTGATGCAGGGCGTTGGTGGATTGGAGGGCGCTACAGAAAGCCTCACTTCCACGGTTATACTCTGCAACGCGACCGAGAAGTGCGATGCCCGCCCTACGCTTGTCCGGTTCGTTAAGGTAGCGCTCGATGGCAACCGCAACACCACTCAATCGGACGAGGTTAAGCCGGGAGAGCTCCGCCAGCATCTCTGCACACAGCGGCATCGGGTCGTTTCCGGCTAAGGATAGCTGATTGAGGAGGTCGTGAAGGACCAAGTTACGCACCTCGTTTCGGTACGGTTCCTCCATGTGGCTGACGATAGTTAAGTGTGCTGGGGTAGTCATGCCACGAGCCAAAACTGTAATACCCTCCTTTCGCACCGGTAGAGGGGCCTTGTTCAGCGCAGCATTCACCTTTCGAGCAGACTCGACCGGTTTTTTGGGGTCAAGCAAGTCGTTCCATTGCCCAAAATGCCGCCCCTCAGCAATGTTTTGCAAGACCGATAACGTCTGTGTGATGCTCTCGAGCGTGCTCTCTCCAAAGCTGTCCGTGGATGGGCTACAGTCCATAGTGCTGGACATATGTATGGTCCCTAACGGTACCCGAACACTACCAGTGCCTACGCCGTTCACGGAGCTATCGGCAAAGTTTATGGGACTGGTACCGCGACTCCCTACGTTGGTGTTACTAGCCCGTGAAGAGTGTATCAGTGCGTTTTGATTGGCCGAGGTCGTGAAAAGCGCCGTTGAGGTTATCTTACTGAAGTTGCCATTAGCTAGAATGCCGTTTGTGGCACCTGGGTTGCTGAGATGAGAGATGCTCGAGACGCCACCACCGGCCCCTACCATACCGCCGCCGGGGGAGATTCCACCAGGATTTCCATCGTTCGCATGAAAAGCCGCTACGTTGGCCGACGGCGAGGTCGAAAATGCTGAGAACGTGTCCATTTCTATACTATTTATCCCTATCTTCTACGAAGAAGAAAAGTTCCGTTCAACCACTTTATCTAATCCCGATTCCACTGCTATACACCGCTCCACACAAGGCTGGCACCAACGCAGAAAGAGGGAGTAAAGTTTTTCCGCACTTATGTCGCTAAGAAATCAAAAATGTCGCCAAACAACAGCAAAAACAGAGCCAGATGGCTTTGTCAATAAATAAGCGTAAAAAAAAGAGGTGAAAATTATCAATGGTTTGGTATCCTCAACACGTAAATAGCTTGTAGTGCTATGTCTTGAGCTTGTATAACTTGCACTGAAAAAAGTAGAACGGATTAAAGACGACGGAAATATCGGATAAATTGGTACAAAAGAGGAAAATAATGGGAAGCGGTCGAAAGTTCATGTGAAACACCATATTTATGAAAATTAAGGTATTTTTCCATTATTATTACGTAGATTATAAGGAGCCTAATTTAGAGGGTTATCCAGCGAAAGCGGTAAAATTAAAGTTAGTCCAGCAGGCGCAACCGTCGCACAGATAAAATATGAGAGATGTGAAGGGAAAATATGCATAATTTCGAAGGTTAAAAATCAAATACAATACCTAAAAAACTAGGAAAAATGCAGTTCTTAAGCAGTCCCCATGCACAAGCACACACGTGATGAAAGCAACAAGGATAACTTTTGCTCCATCAGTAAACTAAACATATATATCCTATTTGCAATTTTCCAATATCACTGGAGATTAAGTCAATCAATCCTCTTTTCGTGCGCGTCTGGGGCGTCCAACATTGGTGCTGGGCCCATTGATATTCCTTCCCTTATTTGACGCATCTAAGGGAGGGAAATAGCTATTTGAATGAAAAGCTTCGGCCTCGTACTGGGCGTTTCCTCTGGCGTATCTTCTCACCAGCAGCATATAAGATATCACCACTATTATAAAGGCAATAGGAACCCAGAAAGACATTGTCATTATTATCTTTTTTGCTTAAAACCTATTTTGTCTACTCAAGCAACCAGTGGGATGAAATAAAGAGAGTTTTAATAACAAATAGTAAACAGACAATGTGTGTGATGCATGTGAATAAGAAAAAACAAAATAAAATGAGATCCTCGATAATTTAGTAGTTTTGAGAAGAAAAGCAAAGGAATGGAAACTAAGGCGCACCGACATGATGTGAAACAGGGACTCTAGAGCGGCAATTTAAGGGGAAAAGCGAAGGAAGGAACATCCTACTTCATCGTCTAATCCCATCAAACCAGCATCAAGGGTAACAGAGCGTCAGATGTCTAAGACATATCTCCGCACTGGTGGGATATGATGCATTGAGAAAGCTGAAAATAATCGTTGCATAAAACAGGTCACCTACTAAACAAAAACCTTTTCAAGCCAGCCGTTTAGCGTCGCCAATTCTACCAACGCCCAGCAACAGGGCGTCGCCCAACCTGCGAAAGCACCCGACCACGCTGGTAGCCACCGCATCTCCAGCTGCACGGCCTCAACGGTGTTGTGTTGGAACTTGCCCAATGCACATAGTGCGGCGGACGCCGCCAGACTTATCTCTGTCTCCGTGTGTGATGTGGTGTACCGACCAAGCGAGGAAGGGGCAACAGGAGGGGGACATGACTTGGGAACCTCAAGATGATGGCTCGCCTTTCGGTGCACGGTTGCCTCTGCAGCGACAAAGCTTGCGGCATCGCTATTCGTGGGTGCCATGGTGTCCGGTACGTGCAGTGATGCCATGGTCGACGACGACAATGAGGATAAGTCAGACAACATCTCGGAGCTGGAGGTGCTCGAGATGAAACTTTCACTACTGTCGACCCCATCATCAGCAATGGGCTCTCTTATACTGCCACCAATGAAATCTGCCTTTCCACTCCTCGCGATCATTAAATCCGAAAACTTGCCCTCGTGTGAACTCCAGCTCGTAGGAAAAGCGTACTTACTGGTTGGGGTCGTGTCCTCGCCAGGTACCGCGGGAACTGACAATGGGATAGACGCAGAGGTCCTCAAGGCCAAGTGCGCACTCAGTGGAACGGCCGAGAGCGTCAGATACCATCGATTGGATCTCGCTTCCGTCCCGACGCCGATCCCTAGGCTCAGAGCAATGCTCGCTGGAGACGATGTGTGTGACGGCGATGAGGGGTCTAAGGTAGCTCCCCTCTGGGTGTGTGTGGATGGAGATTGGGAAGAAAGAGTTGTAGGAAGGGTAAGCGGGCTCATGGCCATGCCTGGTGCGAATCCGCCCCGTCCTCCGGATCCTACTCTGCTATGCCTATTGTTGGTAGCTGTAGACACAATGACAGGAGCGGTAGCGTGGGGGTCGGCGTAGTTTGCATGCCGTTCTGTAGTCGCGCCACGCACTTGCTGGGAATGCAGCCGCGTCAACAAAAATGGAGGAGGGAATGTGTTGCAAAAGGTAGACGCCGGGGAAGCAGAGGTCCCAGCTGCGGTTATCGAAGGGTTATTTTGCCAATTTAGCTCACCCGTGCCATCCTCACCGAGGGGCAGTGCTGACTTTAAAGATGAAGCTTTTTTCCCCATTTCCATATCCTGTTGTTTTTTCACGATTAGCAAAGACGTAGTAGTTGTAGGAGTGGTGGACGACAGGGAGTCGTGTGACTTCAGAGCTCTATACGTCTCGGAAAAATGTGGTGACCCCTTCGCTTCGTGCACTTCATCAGAACGGGACTTCCTACCATGCCCAGAGGAACTCGATTTGGGGGGGTTCTGCACAGTCCCTGTCCTATGTATTTGACCCTGAGAGGACAGTCCTTCTGGTGTGTCAGTATGCTCAGCCCTATCCTTGGAATTGCATCTGACCTTCCCCTGGCGCTTGCTCCCTGACTTTTGCGCCCCCGGCCCGCGCGCCATCTTCCGACGTGCAAAGCGTACCTGATCGGTTGCTTGGAGCATGTAAGAGCCGATGGCTTCACGTGCCGGGTGCTTGTGATTGGTGAGTATCTCATAAAAACGCTCCGTGACCTGAAAGCACGTATGTGGACTCCATAAATCAAGCAAACGCACAAAATTGCACATTTGCAAGTGAAGTAAGGCCTCCACAAGAGCGTTCAGGACGACCTTCCAGTTGGCTGGAAGCTCAATCACCATCGACGTTTCAGAAGCAAGAGAGGAGAGTGCAGGTACGTTTGGGTTTAGCACATTGATCGTACCGCGCTCGAGCACATTCAACAGCATGTCCGGTGGATGACGCTGCTTCACCATAGATGGAACACTCTGGTTGTGAGCAATACCGTTCGGGGGACAGTTACCGCTAGAGTTGCGCTTTTTCGAATGGCCTGTCGCAAGAGAATTAGATGCGAACGCCGCTGACCCATTCGCAGGAGCATAGTGGAAAACGCTGACGAGAACATGTGTTGAGAGGTTGTGATTCAACCCCTTCGAAGTCTGGCAAAAGGGAGCCGATGACACCTCTAGACCGTTACCAAGTGAAGTGCTGTTAGCTACACCTCCGTGTACCCCACTCCTTCTCTTGGTTTGCTCACTTTGAAATGCATGCTTTCTGTTACTTGAGGTAATAGCTGCCCTTGCTGCCGAACTAGCGACACTCTGCACTGCTGTGCTGTAAAACTCCTTCAGCTGCGCGCTCATCTTCATCGATAAGATAAAGGCGATGGCCGCCACGGTACGGCAACCGTCGACAAGCTTCAGTGCCTCGTGGACAAAAAGATCCATCCGCTCGAAGACTTCCATCTTCTCCGCGCTGTACGATACGATAGGAATGGGGACTTGATCTAGACGAATCGTCTCCGCGACCTTAAGAGGTGCTATGCGCGAAATACGAATATCAAGGTTGTTGGACAAGTACACGGACTTGGGATCATAGACCTTTTTTTCACGCAAGCGTGTTGCCAGTGTGGCCGCACGTCGTTCGATCCGCTTTGCACATCGGTCGACAAACGCCGCAGAAACACTACCACAGTTCACCTTGGTGGTAATACCGCCCAGCTGCTTCACCATCTCCCCCGCCTTGTTTCCCGCGCCCATCAAATGCATCCCGCCGCCTTCGCGGCTCAGCTTGAGCGGGGAGGAAACCACCACCCGAGCCATCACTTTCGTAGTAGATAACATCGACGCGGACGGCTCCATATTCGGTTGAACCCACGTGTGCTCTCGGTCGAGGGGCACGCCAACCGCCTGCCTTCGCTCCGCCGCCTCTAGAGCACTGTCCGCCTCAAAAGCGTTTTTCCCAACAGTGGCCTCTTCCAGGTCGGCCTTTCGCAGGACGTGGTAGAGCCCTTCAATGAATTCCCCCAGCGGCGTCCACCGGTGCTCCACCAGCGGCGTAATGAAACAATTGATCACGGGATAGAGAGTCGCTGCCGCCACGGCGGGCACTGCCGTCGGGGAGAACGTCGAGGTGAATGTTCCCGACGTCCATAGTTGTCGGTATAGCATATCAGGGGGAATGTACTCGGAGCTCAGGCCTGAAGAGGACGTCAAGGTTGGAAAGTGGGAAGGGTGCGGTGTGGGATCCTCTAGATTGTTCTGCGGGACGGCGCCCGTGGCTACCGTGGTCCTGGAGGTTGCCTCTTCCTCGTCGTCAGGGCCTTTTCTACCCCCTTCCACGATGGCTCCGTCTGCGGGGATCCCTACAGCCTCCTCGGGAATATCCCCGAAGGTATCGAGTGTTTTTTCAAGCGTAGACGACACGGAAAATAAAGTTGGAGGCGCGATGGGCTTCGCTTCACAGGGTATTGCGCCATCTTTTACATTGGCAGCATATGATGCCACTTCTTCTGGCGTGACCGCAGACTGAGATGGCAGAGTACTCGTTACGCACGGGTAATTGAAGGAAGAAAAGGGAACAAATGGATTTCGGGTAGTGGTTGGGTGCTGCATATTTGCTGTGGTAAGATTAGATCCAGAGAACGTCGATTTCATGCCTGTCATTGAAGTATTCTTCCCGCACTCAGAACTCGATGGAGCGTAGTTCTCTTCCTCATTGGCACAATTAGAAAGGGCGTTGTTGCGAGTCATGGCCGATGTTGGGGGAGATACTTCTGTGTGCTCGTCGTTGAAGTGCCCTGAAGGAAAGGCATTAGTCACAGTTAGAGCACGACTGATGTACCCGTACTTTACCTCGGCGTACCTTAGTTTCTCGGCAACGTTGCGGAGCATCATACTGTAGGGCTTCACGAGCCTCCGAATCAGAGACTCACCAATGGTCATCCAATGGGAGTCGACCTGAAACATAAAGCAAAGCGAGTAGCGTAGAGTTTTGCGTTGGTAATGTTCACCGGGGATTTCTTCAGGATAATATAGGTAAAAAAAGCCTGACTCCGCAGGATGCAGCCACAGAACACGATGACAAAACTCTGAACGTGGCACGAAAAGATCAATGAGCCCCCTTATGCCGCGGTCACCGGTGAAAGTGGCGGTCGTGGTCGCGCCGTGGGTGGACTCCATGCTTATCGCAGCAGAACTAAAGAGAGCCTCAGAGGTTCCACCCTGCATCCGATCCACGGCGAAGTTCCCCTCACTCAATACGCCAGTATCATCATCCTGAAAAATCCGCACCGAGGAGGTTGAGGTGTTATTGGCTGGGTTCAAGTGGCGGCTTGTGGCATGGTCATCCGCATCATATCCTGCAAAAGGATTATAAGGCGCACCACAGTGCACGTACGGCCCCTTGACGACATCGAGTGCAAAAAGTAAGACTCCCTCAAGCTGAATCATGTATGTTTTCTCCTATTATGTTCCCACTTTGTTCAACGGGTCGCATGAATCCCTCTATTTCGTTATCCTAGATATTTATGCGTATAAAAGAAAAGTATTCCGCATACACGTATTTATGAAATGTTTGCACTATTGGATGCTCAACGAAACTATAATTCTAAAGGAATAGAAATGATAAAGAGGGAAATTGAAATTTTATTGATTAGTATTACTCATTCATTACTTCTGTTGTAGTAAACCTATAAAATACTCCCCAAATACTCCATCAATAAGTTACCAGTAAAATATTTTTAGGGCACTCTTCTCAGAGTTTTGTTGGAGCACATACTTATTGGAAGGCTTTAAACTCATGAACTCTAGAAACGTTCAAGATTTTTTCAATACCTATTCAATTTGTTTGGGCACAAATGTCAATAATAGTAGATAAAAGAGTTGTAAGGGGATCATAAAATTGAGAAAATTCACAAGCGAAACCCACAAATTAATATAAAAATATACAACGGTCTTTCTTCGTGAGATCAGTTTATTCCATTCATGATAACATAGTTTCGGAAAAGTAACCTTTTTAAAAAAAGTATGGCTTGCATCTGTGCCTGTTCATTGTCTGAAATTGGTGCGTTCATACACAGAACATTTCTAGTCGGAAATAAAATAAGTAATAATACACTTCTCCAGTTAGCACACGAAATTAATGCCAAATAATGTATGAAAAAAGACATTAAAGAATGTTGTAAGAAAGGAAAGAGCGCGGATTCTAAAATTTGGTATTATAATAGATTTTTAGATGTATTATAATGATTGGTGATGCGCTTCCCTATTTTACTCAGCTGTGGTGATAATAATAATGGTAAACTGACAATTTCAAGAGGTTAAAAGCAACACTGCGTGTAACAGCACTAACCCTCCATAATAATAATCATTGGCAAAAAAGCTATGAATGCTAGTGTAACTAAAATCGTAACAATCAAGCAAAAAGTGACTTAGGAGACACTTAACATATGACCATGTGATAAAAAGGAAGAAAAGTATTTTGATGCATTCACTGACACTGCAATCATGATTATAAAAATGACCACAACTACAAAAAAAAACTGCGCAAATCGCATGCTCATATGGTTTTTAATCCATCAGCCCCTCTCATCTGTGTATATTTTTCACAATAAAAAAACAGAATCCTCTCGATATATTGACTACTCAGCTTCCAAATCCTCACACAGATTTGAAAAGCTTAGACGTCCATGCTGGTCAACGACGTCTCGGTTCGGATATTCGAGACTTCACTCATCGTAAGGTTTGTAACATCAGTCGCTTGCGATCCCTCAACACCATAGGCCACCGTACTTAACACTTCAGCGTTTGTGAACGCAGAGGTCTCCACGATCTCCTCCAGCTGCCGCTGGACATCCTGCAGGTTGGAATTACGGATTCGCACGTGCTCGAGGAGCTCTTTACGGAGGTTCTGGGCGTCCTTCTTTTGACGTTCTAAGTTCGCCTTCTCCCGTTTGATCTTTTCCAGCCACGCGGCGGTGTCCTCAGATATTCCCCGCTCGAGCAGCACATATAGCTCCGGCACTCGGTTGCCCATCTCAAGCAGCTGGTCCCTTACCTCACTATATTGCCCCTGCAGCTTGTTCAACTCCCGTTGAAGGTGACCATACCGCACCTCCAGCGACCGATACGAAAGCTCGACCTCCGTGTTGCGGTCTGTTAGAGCGGTGTAGTTATCCTGCATCGTGCGGAGCTTGTTTTCTAAGACATGCACCGTTTCCTGGCGGCGGTCTGCGGTGCTGGTTTCCTCGTTGAGAGCGTCACGCAGCATGGCGACAATGGCCTGTTGCTGCTCCACGCGCTGATTACAGTCCCGCACGACAGTGTCTATTTCGGATAACAAATATGTGTTCGAACGGTTTAGGTTCTCTATTTGCTTCCGGAGAAGATCCTGTTCGAGCTGCTGGTGCTCGCGATACTCAGCGTGTAGGTTGGCGGTGCGTTCTTCTTTGGCATGCACGACCCCAAGTTCGGTGTGAAGCTGCTCGACCTGGGATTCTAGGAGCTTGTTTTTCTCTAACGCGGCCTGCAACTCCTTTTGTAGTAATCCCCTTAGGGGCCCTGAATCCGACACCGCCTTGTGAAGTGATTCAGCATTCGGCACCAATACGATTTCTTCTTCTTCGGTGTACCGTTTTAAGTCACCGGTGTGACTGCCATCTTTCGCTACGCATGAGGATCCCGTACTAAGTCCCTCCTTTGAGGCGTTGCTCAGGTTCCCTTCACTATCAGACAGGACCTCCCCCTGCGCCTCCGCGGCAGCCTTCATTGCGAGATGGCACCGTTCCTCCATGGAGCTGTACGCACTCTGCAAAGACGCCAGTTTTTCTACCACCGTGTTGAAGCTTTCCTCGAGATCCGCGGCTCTGTCGTCGGCGGCCTTAAGTTTTATCGATAAACGCATGTTCTCCGCCTCGCTAAGACGCAAAGCTTCTTCTGCGGCGGCCTGCCTTTCTCGGCTCTCCGCTAGCGCCTCGTTTCTCTCTTTAAACCTTTGTTTGATGAAAGTCGTGTCATCGCTTTCTAAGGCGAGCTGCGCACGGACTTCAGTGAGTAATTCACTCTGATGCAACACCTGATCTCGTTGAAGGCGGGACTGCTGCAAAAGCAGGCCGATGATGCTCTTAAAGTATTCCTGTTCAATCTGGTCACGGTGTTGTGACTCGTCGAAAAGACACTCGTACTTTTGTTGAGTGTTCAGGAGCTCCAATGAACTATGGAGACCCTGCTGGTTGGGAATTGCTAATTCCGTTAAAACACCTTCAGACTGGTTAAGGCTTGTCAGCGTTGATCGAGGCGTTACACCATGACTTGTATAGCCTCTTATCTCCTTGACAGAATATCGCGGTAGGGAAGCAGGGAAACATGACGGGGAAAAATCGTTGGATTGCCTTCCCTTCTTTTGATAGATCCCGGCAGCCACCATACCATCAAAGCACAACTTTCTTGCAAAGCTTTGCTGAAGTTCACTCATCGCGCGATGGAAGCGCATGCGGAGGTAGTACCGCTCTGAGCTCTCCGTCTCCTCCAGTAACATCAACTCCAACTCATTGATATCGGCATACTTCTCGCGAGCCAGATTTCTATAATCGTTGCGTTCCTTCTCTAAGAGAGAGGCACGAAGTAGAAGCTGAACGTTGTTTTGCTTCTCGTTAAGGTAGTCCTCTCGTGTTGAGGAGAGCTGCGAAGCAAGGGAAGCGGCGTTATCTTGTGTGTTCTTCTGCGCTCCCGCCGCAGCCGGGGGCAGTACACCCTTCACAGCCGCCAGTTCACACTGCGTGGTTTCCAACAAACTCGTCGTACTTTGCATGCGTTCGTGTAGAGACGCTAATTGACGTTTACTCTCGTCATAGCGCACACGATAGCTGTCGCACTCCTCCCTTGCGGCTTTCGCCGAGGCTTTTGCCTCCGAGGCGGAATGTTGTGCAGCCTTAAGACTCCGCTCAAGGGCCCGAACTTGCTTAGTAAGACGCGAGACATCCTCGGTCAGCTTCAGCTGTTTAGGATCTAAAAATGGGGCTGAATCTGCAGAGGTGGTGGAGCCAGGACCTGCGGTCCCTTTGCCCTTAGAGCGAATCGCAAGACCTGAAACTAGCATGATACCACCGCTATCAGTAGGTTGCTGTTGTGTGCTGGGGTGCTTCGCCGGCTGGTTAATTTCTTTTTCATAGGCGCTTTTTACACTAAGCAGCTCCGCGCGGCTCTTGGAGAGCTCCTCACGCAGACTTGATGTGGATGTTAGGAAACGTTGCTCAAGTTCGACCTTTTCCCCACGTAGTTTGCCATTTTCCTCCTCAAGCTCCGCTACTCGTTTTCGCAACAGCTGCATGACGGAATTATCTACTTTGGTGGTCTCCTTAGCCTTCAGGGCTTTGTTCTCGATTCGGAGTTCATCTCGTTCTGCCCTGAGGGACTCGATTTCGGCGATGTGAACCTCCGCCGCCTTACCGGTTTCCAACTGCAGCGTTAGGCGCACAATTTGCCGACGTAAATCCAAAACAAGCTTCTCGAGATGTTGGTCCTCGTTAACAGACGCGACATTGATAATTCTCTTCGCGACACCTGCGAAGCGAAGGGTATTCAGTGTTTGTGCATGGCAATACGCACTCGGTGCTACGGTGGCGAGCAGGATAGTCTTGCTGTTCCCACCAAGGCTGTCCGAGAGGAGCCAGGTTAGCGCGCTCTCACGATAGGCGGGGATGACATGCTTCCCGGACTGCTTATCTGATAACTGCTGAATAATACGACCTAGGCACGATAGCGACAGATTGATGTTCCTAGTCTCCTCGAATCGAGTCCCAACTACACCGGACTGCGAAACTCGCTCGCTACCCGCTAAGTCCACTAAACTTGCTTTGCAGACGCACGTCTTGGGGACTACACCGGCCTCGTTCGACACTGCCGTAACCTTTGTAATTTTGAGCTGGAGAATGGCGTGGCTGCGGCTACTGTGCTCATTCATCTTCGTCTCCGCCGTGACGCGATCACGCATGCCGCTGGCGAGGTTCTTGATCACGCTATCTGCATCACGCACACGGATCTGTGAAAGGCCTTCGACGTAGGGCCCATTGATGGGGTGCTGGCGAATTCGCAGCGAGCCCGTGCTCGAGCTGGAGTTTCCCTGGTTGCTACTAACGCCACCGCGACCGACTAACAAATCCCTAACCTTCTCACAATAAATCTCTAAGAAGCTTAACTCCACTGTGTACGAGACCGCCTCATCCCTTTCCCGTTCTTCCCGCATACACCGAAACAAATCCGTACTGAGACGAGGGATGATCCCATAGCCCTCCTCGGGATTGCTCGCAGATCCCAGAAGTGGTTGTCGTTTTTTGGAAACCGACATCGCGGAGCCAGAAAAGACCTCCGTATCCCCAATCATGCTATAGCTTTTCCCACTTCCGGTCTGCCCGTAGGCGAAGAGACAGGCGTTGAAGCCCTTCATAATCGCCTCGTAGAGGCGGGGGCCGATGAAGTCGTAAACCGACTCCTGACTGTCGTAGGCCGGAGCCGAGGCCAAGCAGGGTAGCTTCGGGGGTAAGGCCGATGAAATCGAGGCCGCATATCGATTTCTCCCAGTCGTAGTCGAGGCGGTGGAGGAAAGGTACCCCGTATCCACTGGCGAAGAAACCGACAACCCGTCGTTAGGAGGCCGGCTCAAGGGAAACCCGAGCGATGACTCCGCAGGGTCCTGAGAAGTCGACGCCATGCGGGAAAACGCCGTATGTGAGGAGAGGAGGGAAAAATTCCCGCGCTCGCCGGAGATGCCCGAGACGGACAACGGCAGCACATCCGCCGGGACGCTCCAGAATATCTTGTCGAAGCTAAAGGAATGCTCAATAGGGATGTTGGTGTAGCCACCACCTACCTGGGATAAAAGAGACGCGCCGGAGTTCCCCCAACCACTGTTATTAGCCCCCGAGGGCGGAGAACCACTACTGCCGCTGTTGTTATTCATGAAAAGCGCTGGAACATCGGTTAGAGTAATCGTTTTACTATCAGGAACTGTGATCGTACATGATAATGGATCCTCCTTCGGCCCGAAAGGACGAACCCGGACCGCGACAAAAACGGCAGACGACTCTGTGGTCATTCGTTCCAGAAAAAAAAATGTTTAAAGGCCTTCCTAAAGCAATAATAGCAAAAGCAAAAATGCTTCTAAACGAAAAGTGAAGTGTATATATGTATTTCTAGTTATTAGAAGTTTCTTCAACCTTGTTGATGCCCTAGAGTAGATTTATGTTTGAGGAAATATCGAGGACATACACATTATATCTAAAAAATCTCGCAGCACGCGACTCCAAGCCACAAAATAATGTGGTTTATTCCAGAAGCAAAAAAGTTTTCGAGGGGATCCACCAAGAGGACAAAAATAATGCAGAATAATAGTGATATCTATCATTGTCATCCGTTTTTTTTTTTTGGCTTAGTGAAAGGAATGTAAAAATAAGCGAGAGCGGGTAAAGTGAACTACAAAAGCAACAGTATGAACAAGAAACTACAACCACATCTCTAATTTGTGATACGCCCCCCCAAAAAAAAAAATAAAGAAATAAAAAATATTCTTCATGAATGTTGGCTTCACCCCGCCTACCCATCTCCTTTCACGAAGGTGCTGGGAGAGAGAAGATGAGGGAGGCGAAAGTTCTGGGATAAGTACAAACTCAATCCCAACAGTTGTTAGGAAGGGAACCACAGTCATCAAAGAATAATAAATAAACAAAAAAGTACGCCGTATAGGCACACAAAAACCGAGCCCTTGCGAACGCCTATGCACTTCCTTTGGATGCTTTCTGACGTATTTTGTGTGCTTTGTCTCACAATATCCTTCATTCACGACCCTCTTAGTTTCCCAATCCCTGCGCCGAGGGGGAATAGTGACGGGGATTTTTTTCTCACGCAAGGCTGTTCATTCGAGTTGTTGCATGCAGTGAAAGAACTGCTGGATTTTATTCCGTTTAGATTCAGTAAAGCGGGGCACATAAGGTGCGAAAAACGTTTGCTTCGCTTCACACAGACGCGAAAACTCCAGGGGTGTGATGGTTCCTGAGTGATCGACATCGAAGAGATGAAATAACATCTCACTCTCTTCAGGAGTAATATTTGGTATGTCGTCGCACGAGCGGAGCGCCTGATTAAACTGTGAGGGCGTCAGCCCGGTCGGCCGCACAAGTTTTTTCAAGGTCGCCTTGGCATGTTTAGCATTGGCTGTGTAGAGCTCACTTGTGAGCTGCTTAATCTGGTCATGAACTTCCCCCCACTTGGACTCCGGAATCGCGCCCGCAACGAGCTGAGACGGCAGCGCGGGTGGCTCCGCATCCAGCGTGAGTTGAAGAGCGTGCGATACCGCGTCGGATTCTTGCATAATCTCGAATATCGTCTGGTAGAGCTGCCATGAAACCTTTGGGAGGGGGCCATTCCCAGCATCACTGGAGGAGGACTCAGGGTTGGTAGAGAGTTTGTTGCCCATTTCGGACACTGTCTTCTTCGCTGATGTCATGGACCGGAACTCCACCTGGTGTGTCAAAATCTTTTGGAAATCATCGCTGTGGATGAACCCTGTGTTTTCAGGGTCAAAAATCCCAAACTCGATCGCACGCAGCTCCGACCTCAGAAAGTCCACACGATACCAGAAGGAATCAAACGAGAGGAGTCTTTTCTCGGCATCCATTCGCACGAGTTCCTCAAGACCCTTGAGATAGTTCTTTTCCTTGGAGGTGGGCTTGTGATGAGCAGACCCTGGCGGCGCCAGTCCGTGGCGTGATAAAGGCGCGAAGACAATCCTCTCAACCGAAGAAAAGGGCAAGTTGAGGCTTAAGTTTTTGCTCCGAGAGGGCCCTGCGGGAAAGGAAGGAAGAAATTTGAACGCTTCTTCGTTTCTGTTGGAGAAGATCCCTCCAAAGGAGAACGACGACGGAAAAACGGATGTGCGACCGGAAGGGCTATCCACTTGTAGGCCAAATTGCCCTACATCACCCTCCTGTTTGTTGGCTTCCCTTGAACTGATTCCCGTCGGGGTTATACTACTACTAATGAGAGACTTCTGAGCCCCTTGCCGATCACCGACTCTTTTTGCGTTTCTTATCTGTACAGCAGGATCAACCATGATAGTGTTAAGTAATAGTGCTAATTCTGGCGTGTTGAGTCGCCCGTTGTTGTGTTCGTCAAATAAGCGAAACGCGCGATGCAATGTGGAATGCCGCGTCGACAGCATGGTAAAGAGCATGACAAATTCGGCGTAGTTAATCTTGCCATTATGATCCAGATCCACTGTAGTAAAGAAGTTCTTCATTCTGGTCTGCGCGATATGTGGAAATTGCTGGAGAGATGCAGCTGAGTCTGATAGAGTTTGAGTTGCATTACGCTTCTCCTTTGGATCCGCATCATAGCGGTTCGAGTGAGACAAAGTTGCATCGCTCTGGGATAATGGCTCCATCAGCAACATGCACGCTATAAAGTCATTTAAATACTGGACATACTCGCCAGTTTCCTCATCTCGTCGAGCATATTTTAAAAAGCGTGACTTTGAATCTTTTGGAATTTTTCTCTCTGAGTAGGAAGAACGGCTCGAAAGAAAGGGTTGTTCTTGGGCCTCGGCACCACTGACTGATGGTGAAAGTAAATAGCAAAGTGACGAAGAACAAGAAAAAAGGCTGCGAAGTGTTTGGCGTGAGGCAACATCCATATCGCAATCATTTCTATAATTAGGATCGTAGTAATTGCAATTGTGACTCGGGTATAAGAATTGATAGCATTGACTTGATGTGAGGGCACCGATAATTACGCCACCAACAAAGCCTGAAAAGGCAAGGGAAGCACATTTAGCATGTTTGATAGGCATTTTTGTGGACGGTTACATGCACATTGATATATATCGATATCCTTCCACCCCAACCTTATATTTGAACCTCAAACTCAGATGGCAAAAAGGGAGGCAAGTCACAAGAAAGCTATGTAATATTATCAATTCGGTTTTCGGTTTAAAAAGCTTATTTAAGCTTCATAAACACTTTGAAATCTGCTATCAGAGTTTGTCCAAATGAGTAATTCTGAATTAATGAAGTTTCTAACCATGTTAAAAACATCACGTAAAAATGGAAGGAATCCATTTCCGTCAAATGGCTGTTTCATCGCAGCTTTGTCACACCTCCTTCGTGTGTCTCGAGGACCGAAAACGCAAATTGTAGACTCGGCATCCAACATAATACCCTTTAGGTGGTATGATAAGAATGAGCCTGTTGTTGTGCTGATCAAAACCATGGCTGACACACTCAATTACCTACAGCCCTTTGCTCGTGTGTATAAATACAAAATAATACCATTTACTCAGATTGAACACCACATCCCCTTCGATGAGTAGGGAACAATGAGAGAAAGAAGCTATACATAGAAAGAAAGAAGGGACTGGTATTTAGAAAGACGGCGGATTTAAAGGGAATGCGCTCTGTCTCCTAAAATACTGTTCCCTGGAAAAGGCCAAACGAGAAACCAGGATATTTTGAAAACTCGTTAGATTTATATCTCTTTTTCGCGTGCAGTCCTTTTTGTCAGACTTTGCTGTATAATTCATATTATGAAGCTTTTTGCGTTTCTTCCCCGTTTGATGCGGAGAGGGCATACGATTCTTAACCATAACACCTACAATCAGAGCTTTCGCTCGCCACGAATTATACTGTCTAAGGAGTCCAGAAATTCTTCAAAAGTATCGTTATGGGAGCACAACATTTCGACCTCAGAGGGAGTGATATGAAAATTATAGCAAAGCTTCTGCTCGGTATCTTTGCCGGCGACGGCTACATCGTTGCGGTGGTAGGACTCCTCTGGAACCGCTTCTACACCCGCGGCCTCCGCCTCTAGTGCAGCGATGCGTTCCCTTAGCACGTTCATCTGCTCCTCGGAAAGTTTGCGATGTGGCATACGAGCTGCGGCCGCCCCAATGGGCACGCTTCGCGTCTTGTTACTGACGTCAGCGCAGTCAGACTCCCCATTCCATGGAACTCCTCCAGGTGAAGTACCCAACCCACCCCCCTGATCCACCCTATCCGCGTCGTTGCTTTGCTTGGCCTTCGCCCTTCCAAGGCCCGTCAATGAGGGCTTTGTGCTTTCTTCCATTTTACGACTTTTCAAGTCAACGGGAAAATTGCTCGGTTGGTTCACCCTAGCAGACGCAGTTGAATGGGCGTTACCGGTTTGCGGAGTCATCGCCACCTCACTATGCCCCTCCATAACAGACGTCGTGAGGCTTTCCATTATTTCAATCAACGACACATCCGACGGTGGTGCGGAGTCGCCAAAGTGCAGACCCGCGATCGCCGCGAGGTCCTCAAAACGTACAAAGTCCATGCGGACTCGTAGAGATATGCGGCCAGGTCGAACAAGCGCCGGATCCAGACGCTCTGGATGGCTCGTAATCAACACCACAATACGACCAGGCGTGTCGACGACACCATCCAAGACGTTGAGCAACCCCGAAAGGTCCAGCTTATCAGCGGTTTGAAGCATCTCCAGAATGGAATACTTGGACCTCCTGTTCATGGCGAAGTCAGTCTCGGCCGTGATCAACCTTCTCAACGGTCCTTTAGGAAGTTCGGCTCCTGCAGGAAACCTGTTCTCAGCCTTATCGAAGTCGCCACTATTGTAAGGACTTTCAACACCCCCTGAATGCATCGAAGGGTGGATTCCTGAAATCCCAAACGCCATTGCGGGGGCAGAAGCCGCCCCAATGTAAGCCATAAAACTATTTTCAGCCGTCCATTTCGTTTCCTTTACTTCTTCCATGTATACAACATGCTCCTGGAATTCTTCCCCTTTCGCATTCATACAATCGCCTTTCTTGGCAGTAAGTACAGCTGGACGGCGCCATTTGAACTTACGCTGTCGTTCCCGGGCACATACAAGTGGGCTGGTTGCATTTACGTCATCTAGAAGGAAAATTGCCTCGTCCAACTGTACCGTGTGCACATCTGACTCCCCGACGCATACGTAATGAGGATTCAGGAAAATGTCGAAAAGTTGTTGATTAGATTTGACAAGCGAGAGGGGGACTGAAATGACATGTCGCCCGGTATACGCCGCGAGAGCTTTCACGAAGGACGTCTTCCCAGTGCCAGGAGGACCGTATAACAAGAAACCAAGCTTATGTGGAAAGCCTTCGAGCGCAAACCGTCCACGGTGAAAGAGGAAGTCATCCACAAGTTTTAAAATACGCTTGCGATCCGGGAAAAACAATGTGTCGAAGTTCTTGTCATCGCTTAGGGTGAATCGCTTAAAAATGGACTTGAAATTGCCGTAATCGCTAACCTCAAGCTCGCTTTCTTTAGATGCTTGCAGTTCATAGTAACTTCGAGTGCTCTTGTTCAAATTTGGCAGCTGCGAGATATAGTAGCTTAAGCATCGCTGCGTGAAGAGCTCCAGACGTGCGGCAGCGTCGTGCCCCTTTGCCCGCAACCACACCGTCCGCTCGACGGTTAAGGTGCCAGAGATGCGGACATGCCGTCGATGATAGCTAATTTCAATGCGAGCCTCATCCTGCGTATCAACCCAATCTTCCCCGATTGGAAGCCTTACCAGCAACAAGCGCTCAAGATGCTTAACAGATCGCTTAACACCGTGTGTCACCATATCGTCGTCGTTCTCGCTCGAAGAGGAAAGAAAGAATGGTGATGCACGGCTTTCAAACACACGCGATTTGAAAGGGTCAACAAGTAGCAGGGTGGACGCCTTGTTACGCCACACCTTCGGTGGGATCGGTTTTTTGCTCCACACATGTTGCGAAAGGTACATGAAAATTGCATTTTGAAGAAGTGTGTTGCGATCATTCGGCATGCCGTTAACGTGAAAAACAGCCGCCGAGACGGAAACAATGCTGCGCACCACCCAACCGCGATACTGTGAATAAACCTCATGCAAAAACGCAAGTATTGCAGGCCAAAGGGCGCGTAAAAGGCTAAGAAAGAAAGCGATAAAAACTATGAGGACTTCAGCCCATAAATGGGAGTAGCTTCCAAAAAGGGCACCTAATAGCATCTTTTGATTGTTCCAAAAGGTAGTCCCTTTTGTCATCGCAACGCCACCGGGATGAGCCACGCCCCTATTTGTGATGTTGAACATGACCGTTTTACAGGACCTAGCTACTATATATATATATATATATATAATGATACAGAAAAGGGATACACAATAAAGAGAAAACCAATTAGGAATATTGTGTAGAAGACCAATAAGCTCACCTAGGATTAGCTACAATTAATACAACTCTTGCAGTTCTGTGCCGGTGGGTCTTCCACTATAT